CTACGGTCGGAATACCCTAAAAGAATGGCATAGTAGCACAGTATTCTACACCGGATGAACCTCAACAGAATAGAGTAGCTAAAAGAATCAATCGCACCCTGATGGATATGGTGGGCAGTATGATAAGTTACTCCACCTTACAGTTGAGCCTGTGGATGGAGGCGTTGAAAACGGCCATTCATATTCTCAATAAAGTATCAAGAAAGTCAGTGCCTAAAACACCGTATGAGTTGTGGACAGAAAGAGTACCCTCACTAAACACTTGAGTGTGTGGGGGAGTCCTGCTGAGGCTAAAGTATTTAACCCAAACATTAGGAAACTAGATCCCAAAATAGTAAGTTGCTATTTCATTGGCTACAAAGAAAAGTCAAAAGGTTTTTGTTTCTACTGTCCAGAGTGACATACAAAGTTTATGGAAACGAGACACGCTGTTTTTCTAGAGGATGAAAAGATGAGGGGGAGCATGGTAGCTCGAGAAATTGACCTTGAAGTGAAGCGGATGTATGCGCCCACTCCAATGATTCATGAGCCAATTTTCTCACTACATGCTGTCGCTGCACCGAGAGTGCAAGATACTATGGTGTCAGCACCTGTTGTTATTCCACCTGTGGCAACAATGAATGACGATGAGGAACCCGTTCTTCAGGATTCTATAGAACCTATTGCCACACATGAGGGGGAGCAACAACAGCCTCAAATAGAAGATGTGCCAAAAGTGGAGGCCCCTAGAAGGTCTTAAAGAGTTAGAAAATCAGCTATTCCTGCTGATTATGAAGTGTACAACATTGAGGAATTTCAAATGGAGGATGATCCCACCTCATTTGAAGAAGTCATGAGAAGTGATCATTCATCAAAGTGGCTTGAGACCATGGAAGATGAAATAAAATCGATGAATGCCAATAAAGTTTGGAACTTGGAAATAATTTCTAAATGAGCCAAAACAGTAGGTTGTAAATGGGTCTACAGAACAAAACTTGACTCTCAAGGGAATATAGAAACATATAAAGCGTGACTTGTGGCAAAAGGCTTTATGCAAAGAGAAGGGATTGATTACAATGAGACATTTTCTCCAGTCTCATGTAAAGTTTGCTTCAGAATCATAATGGCATTAGTGGCACATTACGATTGAGAATTACATCAGATGGATGTAAAGACGGCATTTCTCAACGGAGACTTGAAGAAAAATATTTACATGGCACAACCAAAAGGTTTTCTCATGGAAAGAAAGAACAAATGGGATGCCACCTAAAGAAATCCATTTATGAATTAAAACAAGCTTCAAGACAGTGGTACTTGAAGTTTGATCAGACAATAAAGTATTTTGGGTTTAAAGAGAATGTAGAGGACAATTGTGTCAATACAAAGTTTAAGAATGGAAAGTTTATCTTCCTTGTCCTGTATGTAGATGATATCTTACTTGCTATTAGTGATGTCAGTCTACTACTAGAGACAAATAAATTTGATATGAAAGATTTTGACGAAGCCTCGTTCGTTCTAGGGATTGAGATTCACCGAGATAGAAAAAAAAGGGTATAAGGACTGTCACAAAAGGCATACATGAAAAAGATCTTAAAAAATTCAAGTATGCACAAATGTAGTCCCTCACCTGCTCCTATAGTCAAGGGCGACAGATATGGAGATTTTCAATGCCCCAGGAACCAATATGAGCTCAATCGATAAAGTAAAAGTGGTTCCATATGCTTCAGCTATCGGAAGCTTGCAACATGCTCAAGTATGTACGCGCCCTGACTTGGCATTTGTTACCGGGTTTTACTTGGCAGATTCCAGAGTAATTCTGGAATAGAAAACTGAAATTAGTAAAGAAAGTCTTGCATTATTTGTAAGAAACGAAAGGCCTCATGATGACATATAGAAGATCTGATTTACTTCACATGGTGGAATATTTAGATTCTAATTATGCGAGAGTGAATACATATCCAGACGTGGATTTTCTATCATCTCGCAAAGGGAAGCTATTTCATGGAAAAGCTCTAAGCAAATTGTCACTACATCGTTCACAATGTATGACGGTTTGTAGCGTGTTATGAGGCAACGGGCAGGTGAACTGACTAAAGAAGTTCATACCCGGTTTGAAGGTGGTTGACGACATCTATAGACCACTTAAAGTTATACTGCGATTATAATCTGGCAGTACAGTATGCTCACAACATAAGTCAAGTGGTGCTGCCAAACACATTGACATAGAGTATTATGTTGTGAAAGATAAAGTCCGGGATCAAGTCATAAGTCTTGAGCATATAAGTACAGAAAAAATGCTCGCGGATCCGCTTACAAAAGGCTTACCACCCAACATGTTCAGAGGACATGGTGTTTAGAAAATATGTAGCTAGCATGGGTTTAAGGGAAAGCCTATAAAATTTCTGGACAAAAGAAGGCTCAAAGATAAGTATCTATTTCAGAACAGAGTAGTGAGTTGTAGCTGTTAAGTCTATCGGCAATGGACCATAACGATGAGACATGCTCTATGAGCTAATCTGTAATGAAATGAACAAAAGTATATGATATGAAATGGAAAGATGGAATGAGATCAAGGGGGAGAATGTTAGTTGATCTCCACCAATAGGCCCAACGGTCTATTGGGCCCTTGCCTCTGCTCCCTGATCGGGGGAGCCCAACCCTAACTGGTTGGTGGGTCCCTGTCGCACAGCTAATATATAGAGAGGAGTGGGGAACTGGGCTCAGTGAACGAGGTTGAACGGAGCCGCCATCTCACTCACAGAAACCCTAAACCGATCTAAAGGCCGTGCTACCAGCGACAGGATGTGTCCCACCGACTCCGCCGTCGCCCCTGCAGGATCACTACCGTACCATTACAGTTCACCACAGCGCCACTGAGTCTACACCGGGCCACTGGTGATCGTCTCCACGGCGATGGACGCCTACTACACCGACGGTATCGGCGTCTACCCGCTGAGGTGCATCCACGAAGAAGACGAGAATGCTTACCCGATCCTACGGTCACAGAAAGATACACATCGATCCTAAGAGAAATATGTCTATCGTTGCCGGCTCGACGCAGGCAGTGTTGCTGACAGCAGAAGCCATCGAGAAGAGCGAGGAAGTGTTCGGTTCTTGTGTTGCTGAGTGTGCCTCCGATGATGGCAGACAGGTAGTAGACGAGGCCGCACAAGCAGCAGTGGCTGATTTTGATATCAAAGTTGTGCTGCCTGTCACGCTTTTTGGAAGTCCAAGGTTCAGATTACTGCAACACTAACCTGAACTGTGGGAGCACGAGTATGAAAGTGCTTATCCAAGGAATTGTGCAACTGAACTCGCAACTGAACCTGGGTTCTGTAGCAATAACAAGCCTATAGAAGTAGTTAACTGAAGCTGCAACAACGAAGCAGAATTCGGTCTATGATGAATGATGAATCTGAGTTGTTGAAGGACAGCAAATCTGTTGGAGTGGACAAAATTTGATAGCCCCAGTGCGATGCACGGGCATATATCTAGTTCAGAATACAAATCTGTAGAAGAGAAGTGAATCGACAGTAGATCAAAGAACACAGAGCAATCTCTAGAAGGTTCTAGAAACACAGATGGGTACGGTAGCTTGAGGTAGGAGACAGAGTTGTGTCTCTGAATAATTCCTCGATGCCCATCTCAGCTGCTCCTCTAATTCCTCTTGCAGTCCTACAGGTAACAGCTACGCCACGGCCCACGGCACATATGATGGCCCTAGCAGCACAGGCCTCCAACCTCTGTTTTCCTCCTCGTCCCCTGAACATCTTACTGCTCCAGAGCTCCACCCCAATTCCATGCTAATGCAGCCTAAATTCCTCTCCAATCTCCACCTATATCTTGTACCCGGTGTTTTGGGCACAACACACTACTATGCAGTTTAAGCCTGATAATAAACTTAATATTTTTTTGTATTAAAAATCCATTATTTGATATTCTAAAGATATCTCAGTTGCGACAAATTTGGACTGCTTGGCCACATCTTGTCAGTAACTTTATGTGATGTATGTACAAGCCAAAGGCCCTCTAGTCCAACTGGTTAGAGCGTCCCAGCGGCACTCCTCAAATCCTGGGATTCGACTCTCCATAGGAGCGAATTTCAGTCTGAGGTTAAAAAAATCCCCTCGTCTGTCCCACGTCAAAGCACAGGTCTAAGGACCGGCCCGTTCTCACAGGACGACGGTGCCACTGTGTAAGGGTGGGGCAGGGGTTCGAGGATTTTCTGGGCCTGCGTGAGAATGTCTTCTTCTTAATGCAATGCTTGGGGGTGATCATACCCTCGCAGGTCCAGTTTTTTTTTTTATGTATGTACAAGCAGTCAAGCATGAGCCAAAACTGCAGCTTGTTCATAGAAGAAAACATGGACCTGACAGAACTCCGGCTACATCTTATTCCATGTTTGCAAGAATGCAAATTGGGGATGCCAGTTTCGTGGTCTCATTTCATTCAAATTACATTGTACCGCATTTGTAGGTACAACCGCATATGGAGAACCACAATGCATAGCAAGACCAGCTGAGAGATGAACTTTCAGAGGAAGTGGCTAGTTCAGGCAACCGAGCTGGGAGCAGCAAGTTCGGTGAGGTATGCTCTTCAAAGAGAAATTATGGACGCCTGCGGCAAGATTTGTACAAAGAGGTGCAAATGCATGTGTGGCGTGGATGTGACTGCTCTCCATGTCATGGGTTATTTTCTCCCTATATGTGCATCTTTCTTAGAAATTAGAACTGGTTGGCGAGTGCACCTGTAAGCATTAATTTTGATGTCAAAAAAGTGTTCACGCCTCAAATGGACAAATCACTAGGTCATAAGGGTGGCTTAGACCTAAGCCAAGCTAGCCCAAGAATATGAATAATACATCATTAGTAGTCCTATACATACCATGAATCAGTAGCTACTTATGTAAAACTCTAATATTCTAAGAGTAGTGTGAGCCAAAAAGCCTAAACTCCATCTGATATATCTGTAATTCTATATACAAAAGAATGCAATACTACAACTTGTAATCAAATGTGTCATCAGGCGCCTTGGATTCTGATTTGCATATAGACCTGTTGATTTCTCTGAAAGAAGCTGGTGATATGTTGCAGCACAGGGACCAAACCAATAGGCAGAGTAGCTGAAGCTGCGACGTGAGCATGACTCAGGGTCTTGTCATGCCTAGTGCTCTCCTCGTCTCTTCTTTTCCTCAACTTTTCCAAGTCCATTACACGGTTGTCATGGCTGTAGCGAGGATTCTCCATGGTACTCAGACCAAGTTCTATCTCCAAATCCTTACAATTTCTGTTGTAATCTTTGGAAGCGTGATCGGCTTTCCGCTTCTGTCGCTGCTCATCTTCTTGGCTCTTCTTGAATTCATGCACGACTTTAGAGAACTGGTCGATTGCTCTCAGCACATCATTCTTGGAGACCATCTCGATTGCTTGAAACCAATCATTTGAGATGATGAATACAGGTGGTGCGCCAAGCTTGCCTGGGGAGAAAGGAGGGGCCCCATCTGCTGTGACTTCCTCCTGCACCTCAGGGATCCATTTCTTCAACCATTCATTGAGCGCCTCAGCACAAGACCTTTGAGAGCTCATCCACTTGTTGAAGCAACGGTACCATTTCGTGAGCTCTCGTTCCAAATCCCGTGAGGCCTCTGAAGCAACACCAGATTCGCTTACAGTCATCGCCTTCAGCCGGTGAATTCTACTGTCCTGTATGGCTAATAGCTGCTTCTCATGGCATTCCAGAACGGCTTTCCACAACCTTCTGAACCTGTAAGAAATCATATGGATCAGATAAATTCAATCTTTTGAAGACCAGACAATTCAAGGGAGTATTCATACCTTTGGATGAGATCAACCAGTTGAGGGTAAAGCTCTTCATCTCGAATCTCCTGTATCTTTAACGAGAAGGCTTTAGCTGTACTCATGTTGATGCTGATCTTGGACTTCAGATGCCTTACAGACAACTGGACAGAGTCAATTGTACTTGATTCAGCGCCTCGTTCATCCATGGATTTCAGCCTTCTGTAATACTTCTCGTACTTCATCCGTAGCTTCTCTTCATCCTAGAACAACCACCTAAGATGTTCAACAGATATTTGGCAATAAATCAGACAAACAGCATGTTCGCTCGTTGGTTTCAGCCAGGGCTTATCAGCCAGCCAACAGTGTTTTCCTCTCACAACAAACCAACACCAGCCGGGCTTATCAGCTCAGAAACCAACCGGCGAACAGGCCGAAAATATGAAATAGCGCCTACATTTTCTTGTCCTATACACTAACACAACTACTTCAATTATAAGTTTGTCGCTGGAACACAAGTGTGTACCTTTATTTCCTGATAGAGCTTCTTTTCCCAGAACCACAGCTTCTCCAGAGTTGATGAGAGGTGGTCAATACCATTGCTACGGCCAGCACCTGACGAAGCTGAAGTGCTTGCCTTGCTGCTTGATGCTCTTAACTTCGTGCCATGTGATTTCGGGAGGCAAGACGATGTCGACACAGTAAGGCCTAGCGGATCCATCAGTCTGGAAGAGATATCTGCAAAAGATGGAAATGAATGGTTTTACATCATTGCACTAGCACATATAACAGAAGCAACAAAGCTAAAATCAATTTCAAGCATGGTTGCACTGGAATAAAGCAATGCATTACCCACATCTAAGAACTCTTGGGGTGTCACGGGGAGGCATTTTCCCCACCTCCAGCAGCCTTGAGACATCTGTGCTGCAGTTTGCCGCCTCATCGAATAGCTCCTTGACCTCATCAATCGCCTCTCTGACATCCCTCGTCCCATGATGCAATGGCGAGAATGGCTCGCTGCTCACCACCGACTGGATTGACTTGATATGGCTCTCCCCACCTCCTTCTGCTGCTCTGATGGATTGCTCTGCTTCGAAGGCCACACCTTTCTTCTTCCCACCGGTGCTGCTGCCATCAACGTCACTGCTAACTGTGCCCTTTAGGCTCACCGTGTTCTTTTCCCCCTTCTTTGCTTTTCGAGCTGGCATTGCTTGGCACGGAATCATTCCCGGACACTGGTTTCCCTCCCTCGCCTTCGGCATCAGCAGCCGGCTCTGACCCCTTCCTCTGCAACTTGCCACCAGGAGGTGGTTCCGATCCCTTCCTCTGCAGCATGCCACCAGGAGAATCGCTGATTGAAGTGGCATCCCTCTGCAGCTTGCCCCCAGAAGAATCGCCCTTTGAGGTGGCATTCTTCTGCAGCTTGCTGTCACCAGAAAAATGGCCGTTCGAAGCGGCATTGTCTTGAATCGGTCCCTTCCCCTTGATGTCCTGATCAGAAACCCCGGAAGTCGATGGCTTGGATTTCTCCGCCTTCCTCTCTAACTCGGCCTCGTCCTCAAGCTCCGGGATCCCCTCCATCCTCCTCAGCTCGGCGTAGTTGGGGCTGTTGGTTGGCAGATTCCCGCCAGCGTAGTCTTCCATGAACTGGTCGTACTGTGCGAACGGGTCCAAGAATTCCCACGGCGAGGCCTCCGCGGTCGGGGGTGAAGGCGGCGGCCCAGGATGCCTCGGCGCCGCCTCCGGGGTCTCTCCCGCAATTACCACGCCGTAGGGTCCGTACGGGTACGGAGGCCCGTAGCTGTAGCCGTAGCCATTTCCGTAGGCGTGGCCGTACCCGCCGCCGTAGGCGTATCCGTAGCTGGGCTCGGCTGTGGTGTACTGGGTCTGGGCGTCGGGGTCCTCGTACACAACGGTAGGCACGGTGGACGATCTTCTCATGAAGTGGTGGTGGTACCTCGTGGACGTCGACGTCGACGCCTCCTCGCTCCCGCCGCCGCCACCTCCGTGTCTGGTGTCGTCAAGGTCATGGAGATGGAGGTCGTCGTCGGAGAGGGAGTGCGAGAGCGGCGAGACGGTGGACGAAGAGGACGACGGCGACGGCGGGACGCTGGCGACCGGCTTGGCGGGGGAAGGCGGGAGCGTGAGCACCGGCGAGGAGGACTCGGGCGTGGCGGGCGCGAGCGCGGACGCCGCGAAGCGCCGGAGCGCGTCGCCGACGGCGGCGAGGGAGCGGAAGTAGGCGGCGTGCGCTGCGGCGAGCGCGTACCGGCGGTCGGCCGCGGCGCGGATGAGCGCCACGCGCTCGCGGCACAGCGCAGCGGGGTCTCCTCCGGACGCGGACGCGCGGGGCGCCCTGGCCCGGGAGGTGGAGGAGGTGACCGCGGCGGCGAAGGCGTCGTGGGAGGTCGTGCAGCCCATTGCCGCGCGGGAGGGCGAAATCCTAGCTCCGGCGGCGGTGCAGGCGTACGGATACGGCGGGCTCCGGTGGCTCGTCGGCGTCCATTATATACAGGGTACGGACGACGGCAGGGCGCGCTGCGTGCGTCTCCGACTCGGGGACGGGGACGGGGACGGGGAGGGGGAGGGGGGGAAAGTATGGCGGCGCGCGGTGAGGCGGTGATGGAAAGCGGCGCCGGGATTGAGAAACCGCGTGAAGAGAGGCGGCGCTGCGTGGAAGGCGGGGCGTGATGAGATGGAGGCGCAGGCGGAGGCGGCGGAGACGAGAACGGAAGGAGTGTATGCAATCTTCGCAATTGTTTGAAAAAAAAAATCAAAACAATGTAGCGGCTGATTGTGTGTGCGAAAGAAATACTGTAGCGACTTATTAATGAATAGTGTCGCTGTGAGCGGGATCCGACTGGTCTGAAAACCAGACCGGTGCGATTAGACAGCACAATCACTATAGTTCTAACATTGACCATAAATCCTAGAATGGTCTATCCAACGTGCCACCTATTTTGTGCCTCTGTCCACAGGCTCTTACTTTATGAGAGCCACATCATATTACACCTTGCGTTGGGAAATTTATCCTATATACATAAGTATACTTGGCAAAATATGTAGTGTGAATATACAAACTTTTTCAAAAAAAAAAACATACTTCTGTCTTTTGAAAGTTTTACAAACTTTTTCAAAAAAAACATATTTCTGTCTTTTGAAAGTTTTTTGAAACGGTGCATATCTATAGTGCATATCGATATATATATACTTTGTTGCAAAAGTTAAGATTCAAACTCAATATAGAAAAAAAAATCATACAAAAATAACAAAATCTAGGTGCATGTGCAATACAGGTCAAACACCAGTGTCAGTTTTGTTATGTTTGCATGGTTTTTTTCTAGACTTTGAATATCTATACTTTTGCAACAGTGTACGTATTTGGATGTCATTTCAAACTTCTTGAAATGACGAAAGTATACTATTTAAAATGTTTGCATATCTACACCTGCCTTTAGATTTACACGGCATATTTTGTCTATACTTTATTTGGTACTCCCTCCATCCCAAATTGTAAGTCATTTCAAGAATCTTGAAGAGTCAAAGTTTTTTAAGTTTGACCAAATTTATATAACAAAATAATAATATTTATCATACCAAGTCAGTATCATTAGATTCTTCATTAGTTATATTTTTATATTATACCTATTTAATGTCATATTTTGTCTATACTTTATTTAATTTAGGATGGATAGAGTACATAGAAGGGAGAGATTGTATGAGCAGACAACACACCGTCATGCATGCACAAAACGGAACGGAACGGGAGGAGGAGCTCGCATGCGTATGCGGCATGCTGGCATGCAGGCGGGGAATTCGACGGAGACCACAGTCCACAGGCCATGAGCCATGGCATGGATCACCGCAACGCCAATGCGTTCTGGTCTCCTGGATCACCAGCTGGCATGGCAATGGGCAATGGCAGTCCCCCTCCCCCTGCAGAAACAGAGTCGCCGCAATGAAGAGGGGTCATCAAATTCAAAAGCCATGGAGACTGGAGAGAAACAGAAACGCCGTGGTTTAATTTTGGCATAATTTGACAGCCTAGCAGCACAACCGAGTGTTTTTTGGCATAATTTGACTGGAGAGAAATAGGACTATGGCTCTTACTAAAAATAGCACTAACTCTTTTTTTTGTGACTAAAATAGCACTAGCTCTAACTCCTCTACTTTATGCTGTCTAAAAAGTGTTTTTTGTAGTAACGTTGTTGTAATCTCTACCAAATTTATATCCACTCCCATTCTTAAACAGGAATGCTAAAGAACAACCGAGTGTTTTACTTGAATTTCACACACGATTTTGTAGCCGCTAGATCTGAGCGCAGAGGAGGGGCACGGACGACCGGATCTCCCCCTACCGCTGCTGCCTTCTTCTTCCTCCCCCACACCCCGCCCGCCATCTTCTTCCCAAGCTCCGCGCGCGGTGGCTAGGGTTCTAGTGAGCTCTCCTCCTCTTTCTTCTCCAACTCCGGCGGGGATAGAAGGGCCCGGACGGGGGACGTAGGTAGGCCATGCGGTGGGGATGGTGGTCGAGCGGTTTAGGGGAGCTAGCGGTGGTAGCGGCGGCCGGGCCAGGTCGGGGCAAGGGAGGCTCGCTGGAGCTGGAGAAGATGGTGGCGGTGGGAGGGAGGGAAAGGAGGCGGCTGCACCGTGGGCGCTAGGGTTCGCTGGAGCTCCGGAGAACCCTAGCGCCCACGGTGGGGCGGTGGTCAGCGGCGGGGACGAGGAGGAGGAGAAGGGCGGGGTGCACAACGGCAAGGGAGGGAGCGGTGGAGGAGGGGTGCTGACGAACCGGATCCACGAGGAGGAGGAGGGAGGAGGAGGAGGTCTGCCCGATCCGCCATGGCCGACGCCGGAGAGCTCGGTGCGGGTGGGATGGGCGGCGCAGGGAGGCGGGCGTGTGGCGAATGAGTCGAGTATGGGAGAGGGGAGAAACACTTGGTTTATGTATAGACAGGCTCTTCTTAAAACAACGGGAACTAAGAAGGAGCAGGTTGAGCAACATTCTTAAAACAACTTCGGGGCTTTCTTGTGTCCCGATCGTATGTCACGTTGAGCTGTTTGGTGGGACTTCACTTTAAGTCAAGAAAAAAAATGAAGCTAAAACCATTTAAAAAACTCTTGCCCTGTTCGCTTGGCTTATAAACCGTACTTTTTCAGCCAACGAACAGAATTTTTCTCTCACAACAAATCGGTCAACAGTACATTCAGCCATGGCGGCGAACAGGGCATCTGTCAAAGAGACTCTTAGTTTGTGCTTCACAAGGGAAAGACAGTTTCAGCTCTTTTGTTTGGGGTGCTCAAAACCTGCTCTTGATCAGGTCGTTCGGCGGAACCCGAGCAAAACCAAACAAACCCTTATAACAAATTTACTACTCTAGACAAAATTCGTGCTCTACACGGCTGGCCTGCAGCTGCAGCTCCATGCACTGCATGCACGTGTCAATTTCAGAGCAAAAAGAACCATGCATGACACACGCAATGCAAGTCAAAAAGTACTAGATGGTACTAGCAGCAGCAGCAGCAGCAGCTAGCTGGAATGCATGCAAAGTCCACACGAAGCGCGTAAAAAAAGGAAGGAAAAGTAAGCAGTCAGCACGATGGAAAAAGGCAGACCATCCATTTCCATCGGTGAAAAATGATGAAGAGCACAGCACGATCATGGTTGCTGCCACAAACGATTTTGAGTTGACGCCCAAAGTGGAGTCCTTGCAACTTGCATGCACATTGCATTGTTCCTTTCTTTTTTTTCTTTTTTGATTGCCTCAACTGAGTGAGAAGTGACTCCGAGATAAATGGAATCTCTCCATGTGCTTGCGTTGCCATTTCGCCCCCTCTCTTTGTTTTGTTTGGTTCATTATTTCAGTGCCTCGTGGACGTTGAACCTGACATCAGTTGGAGATGGGTTGCATTGGGTGGTTATATTAGCATTGGTTTAAATTATTTGATTTGAGTGACGACAACTGGAGCCGTTATATCGATTATCGAACAAGGATTAGTTCAATTGTACTATCCTCCTGCCCAGCCATTTTTATTTAGAGACGTGCTTGAATATATTTTAGCTTGATGACCGAGTAATTAAACTAATTTAATTTGGCTGGCTGCTCTACTGATATGCATACCATATACTCCGTACTTATATAGTAGTACTAGTGTACGTACTACTTGTATGAGGTTATTAATAATATAAATAATGCGCTGGTAATGCGACATGAAAATTTGGGTACCAATCCGTGTTTCTCAGCATCACAAGCTTGGTACAGAAAGTGCCAAGTTCTTTTGCCACGAAACGACGACGAAGGAAGGCGTTGCCGATCACGTGGGAGCGAAAAGGAAATTATGCGCCTCGTGGCGTGAGTTTCTCGATGGTTTGATTTCAGACGAACTAGAATAAATTTCTAAGGGCGAGGGGTGGAGCGAGGAAAGTCTGCTTGTCTCGTGGTTGCAAAAAAAAATCGTACATATATGATGGAAATTAATTATAACCATTGTTTTTTCAATATATTTCGACGTGGGTGTGACCGCAAACAAGACTATCTATATGCATCTGCCCATGTTAACGGTTTGTTTGTTTGTTATATCCTTGGAAATATATCTTGTTCGTATAGTATTAGTGTTGGATCAAGATATCCAGCCAACAGCCTAAGTTTAGAGCATCAACCAACCACTCCCTAAATTTTAGAGGTGAGACAAGACAGACGACGGCAGCCTAAGTATATATTTAAACTTGCTGTGCACAATAAGGTGTGAAGAAAACAAGGTTCCAGCTTGGAGGACATATGGATGCATGGGATCACCTAAATAAATTTAATGCCTTCTGAAAACAACTTTCGCACGAGTGGTGTTTTTGTCACCATCCAAGAGTGGACGTTTGATGGTCGACCAAATTTCTGATTTTCAACGCGCCGGTTACGTCTGCAGCTAGCATAACGCGGTAGGGATTGAAAGTTGAAACAAGGCTATAGCATGGCCGAGGAACTTTACACATTTAGGGATGTTTGGATTCACTAAATTAGGAGGTGTCACGTGAGGGCGTCGCATGGGGTGTTTGGATACTAATAAAAAAACAAATTACATAATCCGTCAGTACTCCACGAGAAGCCTAATTAATCTATCATTAGCACATGTTATTGTAGTGCCACATTGTCAAATCATGGACTAATTAGGCTTAAAAGATTCGTCTCGCAAATTAGTCGTAAACTGTGTAATTAGTTTTGTAATTAGTCTATATTTAATACTCTATACATGTGTTAAACATCCGATGGAACAGCGATAAAAGTTTAGGAGGACGAAGTAAACACCCCCTTATTTACACGCGTTTAGCTAGTTTGCTACTTGCTGCGCTGGTGTCTGCTGTGGTACTGGTAGGTAAACCACCAGGAAGAAAATAACCGAAGGGCATGGCAAAAAAGCACAAAAAA